TCTGGAAGCTCTAGAATGGTGGTGCAGGTAAATTATAAATCAGACATTAAGTTCAAAGAGACAGGCTGTGTGTGGAAGTACAGTGTTTGGGAGGCTCTTCCAGCAAGGGGTTGTCTCAGATGAGAGCATCAAAGCCTGTCTCTAAAGAAGTGTTTGTCAGCCCAGTTGATAGTCAAACCCACATCACTCCTGTGCATCATGGTGGTGATACAGTTATGTGCGTGGTGCAGGCCACACTGCCAGACTCTTTAGCCCTATCCACTAGCTGTCAACTGCATCAGCCCCAGCTGTCTGCAGCGTCACCATATTCCACTGAGGAACACTCACTGCTGGTGGAGCACTGCTGTCTGAGAGGAGGCGACATGTAAGCGGTGACTGAACCGTGCTGGGGCCCAGTCAGGTAATGTTAGGTCAACTGGGTAGCTGTTGCTCTCTTTGAAACAAGCTCATGAGGGCAGAAGTGATTTTGTACAGGATTATGATTGTGTAAATTAATATGTACAGTGTTTTGCATTAATTCTCTCTCTCTCTCTCTTGGATTTATGGCAGGAATAAGTAGACTGTTTCTGTTCTTTTAGTTCAATAGGCGGAAATTATAAATTTTATACCTATGTTTTGGTTTTTTGTGCTCTGAAGTCTCTTGACACTTTTAAAACCTTAAGTATCCTTGCCCTTTGTAGCCTCCCTTGTGGCCTGAGCTGTATTTCAACAGCCGTTATTTTATTCTCTTACATTCATCATATTTTTTTCACCTTGTGTGTATAGTGAGGTTATACAAGTTTTGTCTCCAGTTCTGGCTGCTTATTTCTCTTACACAATTTTCTTGCTATAACCGAGCTCATAAAACAATCTAGGGCCTCTCGGAGTATTTGTCCAAGAGCAAAGTACTGTCTCTTACGGGCCTCCATGGTGTGTTGTAAGTGGTGCTATCTGCTTTTATAATTGTTGAGCTCAGTTTAATGATGGGTGTTAGATAGTTGCTGTATTTGCTTATGGAAATAAGTTTCTACCAGCATTATGAATGTGAGAGAATACTCTCTATTCTTTGTGTCTCCCCGGTGTCATTAGGAATAGCAATTGTGTGTGTTTTATTGTTTTTAATTACTGTTGCTTTGTAATGTACATAAAGGTATGACACACTCTACTTTTTTTTCTTAGTATTTCTTTGGCTATATGGGGTTATCATCTACATTCTATGACCTAGTTAAAGGTCTTGCAACTTCATATCCTCCATTATACAATTTTCCAGCTATAACTGAAATCATAAAACAATCCAGCTGACTCTGTTTGTATTTGTCCAAGAGCAAGGTACTGTCAATGTCAAAATAAGCCTTTACTGTAAGTATACTTAAAAAACTATTCTTTTTTTGTAAATGTCTATTAATGTATTTATATCATTTCCATCTCTCCTTTTCCTCCAACTTCTTCCATGCCCCCAATCCCTCCCAAATTCATGGCCTCTAATTATTATTGTTTTAACACACACACACACACACACACACACACTACTGGGTTTATTTAGTTTTCCTTGTATATATGTAGTGAACAGACCTTTCCATGTTTATTTTGGTTTTAAATAAGCAAGATTTTGGATGCTGAGGAAATTTGCATCCTCGCTAGAGATCCTGGGTCCTAGCTTCCTGGAGCTCCTGGAGCAGAGGTCATCCAGCAGTGCTGCCGTGCTGCCTCTCGGGGCCAGCCAGTCAGGCTTCCCACCGGGCAGCTCGCTGTTTTAAACACCCCACAGATGCTTTGAGGAAGCTGTGCCGCCACTCCTGTTGCCTAGTCCAGCTACATCTCTTTTTAGAGTTTAGATTTTTGTCATCACAGTCCTTGGGGGAAAAAAAATCTAGCAATTACTTTCACTCAGGACAGAAGAGAAGAACTTCCCTTGGCTGCCCAGAAGAAGGCCAGCCGCTACCTGCTGCTGATTTATGCTCCCTAATGCAGCCTGCTTCTGTCTACTGCCCTCTGTTACAGCCTGCTGCTGCCTGCAGTGGCTACTCACTAATGCCAAAAGCTAAGGATTACACAGTCATGAGGGACACTGGCAGGTAAACCAGAGCACTAAGCTTCCAGTCACAGAGTCTATAGCCATAGGTTGGATTCTCCCCACCCCCCATTTTCATTGAAAATAGAGTTTTTTCTTCACATAATAGATCCTGATTATGATTTTCCTTCCCTCTGCTCCTCCCAGCTCCCCCACTCCCTTTCTTCCACCTGGATCCACCTGCATTCTGTCTCTCATCAGAAAACAAAGAGGCTTCTCAGAAATAATAGTAGAACAGAACAGAGTAAGATAAAGCAAAAACTGACACATCAGAATAGGACAAAACAAATAAGCAGAAGGAAAAGAGCCCAAGAAAAAGCACAAGAAATAGATACGGACACAGATATCCACTCGTTCTCACACTCTGGAATTCCCTAAAAACCCTAATCTGGAAGCCATAATATATGTGCAAAAGAGCTGTAGGGTAAGAAGATAGTCATAAAAATATAGCCATAAAATATAAGATTAAAAAAATGCTCTAGCAAGACATCATGAGGCAAAGAACCTCCAAATAAGCCATTGAGTTAGTTTTCTGTTGGCCATCTCCTGCTGGATGAATCCTACCCTCCAGAGTGGTTTGTTTTCTCAGAGAGACTCTTTGAGAAAACTAAATTTTCATTTGCAGCTGGTTATCAATTGAAGGTGGCTTTGCCCCCAGTCCTAACCCGGCAGCTTTAAAGTTGGCTTCTAAATCTTGGCGTCTCTAGGTTTCAGGTTCAGGAGCTATATGCCTCTGGGTCTGCCAGTCTAGCCCTGGCTCCTTGAGGGTATCAAGTCCTGGGTAGAGCATCTAGCTGACTCGCTGCAAGGGTTGAAAATTAACGTTTTGAAGCCCCTGCTTCAAATTTATCCAGACTTTAAAAAATGATCATCACTGATTGAGGCTCTGAGTCTTATCATATTGAAATGTCTTGGATCATTGTTCATTTGTTAGTCGTATTAAAATTATAGCATTAAGCTTTGCTGATTGAAAATATATTCACTGGGGACCGAAGAGATGGCTCAGCGGTTAGAGGACCTGGGTTTAATTCCCACACCCACCTAGTGGGTCTCAATCACTTGTAATTCTGGTCCTACAGGATCTGATGCTCTCTTCAGTGGACTCTGTGGGCACCAGGCACACATAGGTACACAGATATAGCTGCAAACAAACACCCATACACATAAACCTGAAAAATAAAAATACAAGAAAATATATTATTCATTTCTATATGCCATGATAGATAATCGTTTTTAGAAGTACATAAATAGGATAGAAAAAAAAAACCCTGTTCTAAGTGGGGAACAGTGCAGATGTCCTGAGACATTCATGTACACCAGACATGGGGCCAGGGTTAAAAATGCATTGATTTACTCGTTCATTCATTCATTCAGTCAGTCAATAGTATTGTTTAATAATTACTTTCCAGCCACTGCAGTGAGAGCTGTACATGCAATGCTGAGTGAATTATGCAGCCTCATTTACATGAGTTAACTGTTAGTTATGAAGGCAGAACAGTGTTAATAATAAGAACAAACAAATTTCTGTAATATACATGGCCCATTATTTCATGTAATCACAACCAAACTTGTTTGCAGCAAGTTATTTATTTATTTATTGTTATTTTACAGGTAACTAAATCGAGACTCACAGAAGCTTATATTTCAGAGTAGGAGGCACAGCTGGTCTGTGATAGAGTTGATCTTTGGCTACATGATACGGACCTAAAAGCTCTGAGTTTATCAATGACCCGTTGATGACAGTATTCTACTTTGGTAAACTTGACAAAAAAAAAAAAAAAAAGAAAGAAAAGAAAAAAAGCAGTTAAGTTTCTAATCATAGGCTAGACTTTGAAATCACATTTCTGTTTTTCTCTCTCTTTGGCATGTTTTTGTGTAATCTTATTTATATTTTTATAAGAGGCATCCAGCTTTCGAGGAGAGTGATAGTTTATGCCTATCATGCTTCCATTTTTTTACCAGTGGGCTAGCAGTTACTCTGCAGGCTTATGGGACATTAATTTTCATGAGATCTAAAAGGGTAAAGGCTCATGTTTAACTGAAAAAAGTTTATTCAATAGCCAAAGTGTATCTTGAATGAAAGTAGCATTCATTTGTCGCCCTCAGTGCCATAAAGGCAGGTGAAAATGTTTCTTCGTTATTTATTATTTTGTGATAAGCACCAATACTTAATTTTTTATTTGGTCTATCCTCTATTACAGAAGAACTCCTGGTGGGGCAAAGACATGTAGCATGGACGTTGTCAAATGAACAGGAGGAGCTACAAGGAGATAGTTTAAAGAGGATTGGGATAGAGCGGTGAAAACAGCTTTTTCTGTGGAGTTGAATGATGGGCATTTTTAGTTGAAGAAGCAGGGTTGGGGGAGGGCATTCTTATTTGTCACAAGAAACACACTTCTTGCTATTTTTCTCCAAAGAAAAGAAACTGCTCCTCAGTCTTCTGTGATAGATGGCAGATACCGCGAGGGAGCCTCCAGGATGGGGCACTGACAACATCCATAATGCAGAAGGAGGCAGATGAGGACCCAGGGGTCAAAACTGTGATCCATCTGGATAAGCCTGGATTCAAATCTGAAACAAGCTAACACACAGACCAAAGGAAGGAACAAAAAAGTGTTCTAATAATATAGAACACTTATGGTGTGTATGTAGACCCTAGATTTTCAAAGCACTTCTCTACTGTTCAACAAGAAAGGTCAGATCCAAAAGACTAAAGGGCCAGACCAACGTCTTGAAACAAACAGCTGAGCTATAGTTGAAAGAAAGATGACATCATTTCTAATCCAGACACGTTCAGTTTATGGAAGAGATAAATAAGAATGAAAGACTGGAGAAAATAGAATTGAATAATAAAATAGTTGATTTATGATTACTTGAAGGATGCTGTGAACATCCAGTTTTGTCATTAGATGCCCTGAATTGTCTTCTGCTACTGTGCAGGTCAAAGGCTATGGGAAGGTTCAACACCAGTTTGGATAAAGGTTTCATTTTGGTGGGATTCTCAGACTGGCCTCAGCTAGAACTCATTCTTTTAATCTACATTTTGATTTTCTACTCCTTAACACTCTTTGGCAACACCACCATCATTGCTCTGTCACAACTGGACCTTCGATTACACACACCCATGTACTTTTTCCTCTCCCATCTCTCCTTCCTAGACCTCTGCTACACCACCAGCACTGTGCCCCAGCTTCTAATCAATATTGAGGGGCATGACCATACCATCACGTATGGAAGGTGTGTGGCCCAGCTCTTCAGTGTCCTTGCCCTGGGCTCCACGGAGAGTATGCTTCTGGTGGTGATGGCCTTTGACCGCTACGCTGCTGTGTGTCGTCCACTCCTCTACACCACCATTATGCATCCCATTCTGTGTCAGGCATTGGCCATGTCATCGTGGGCAGCGGGCCTCGTCAACTCTCTGATCCAGACAGGCCTCATGATGGCCATGCCTCTCTGTGGCCATCGGCTGAATCACTTCTTCTGTGAGATGCCTGTGTTCCTCAAGTTGGCTTGCAAGGACACGGCTGGAACAGAGGCCAAGATGTTTGTGGCGAGAGCCATAATCTTGGTTTTCCCTGCGACATTGATTCTAGGATCCTATGCACACATTGCCAGGGCAGTGCTGAAGGTCAAGTCAATGGCTGGACGCAGAAAAGCTTTTGGGACATGTGGGTCCCACCTCCTGGTGGTTTCTCTCTTTTATGGCTCAGCCATTTACACATACTTACAACCCAAGGGTAGTTATTCTGCGAGCGACGGGAAGTTTGTTGCCCTCTTTTATACTATCGTCACCCCTATGCTCAACCCTCTGATCTATACCCTGAGGAACAAGGATGTGAAGGGGGCTCTGTGGAAGGTGCTGGGGAGAGGCACAGACTCAAGGTAGTAAATAAATAAATAAATAAACAAACAAACAAACAAATAAATAAATAAATAAATAAATAAATTCTTTCTGCCATGGCTCCAGGATACCTGAGCCCTTTGGTCCATCTAGAAAACAATCCTTATTGACTTGTGGAGAAGAAAAGTTTTGTTGAAAAAGAGAGGGAGATGAAAAAGATAACATGGGATAAAATGATCAAAGTTCAATATATATATTTATGAAGCTGCCAAAAATAATAAATCTGTCCTCAGTAGACACCAGGCTTGGTGTTTCCTTTGGAAGAAGCTGGAAGTGAGGTGTTCCTATGGTGCATGTTAGGTAGATGTCTGGTCATTGCTCAGCGTTGTAACACGGCTTCCCACTCACTCCCCCCCCCCCCCACAAACTGTAGTTTGGAAGAGTGCGCTGTGAGGGGCTGTGGAGAGGGGTCTGAGAGTGAGAGAATTAACCCTGAATGGCTCTCTGCAAAGCTATGCTGCTGCATACTTGGCAGTATGACCCAAGGCAGAGGACGTGAGTTTACTGGTTTTTTCTTTTCTTTTTGTTTTTAATCTTTTGGTGATCCTGTCAGATTCTTGCTGTAGGAGAGTCCACTTCAAAGGTTTCTTACGCTGTTTATTATTTCGTGATACTTGGAGAAAGTGATCAGATCATAAACAGAGCTGCTTTATAGAATTTGTGACTTTCAGACATGAGTTCATTTACTTAAATGCAGAGATCCCAAAGCCTGCCTCTAGTGACACACCTTCTCCCATAAAGCCACACCTCCTAATTCTTCCCTAAAAGTTTTATCAACTGCAGACCATATATGCGGATCCATGTACCTATGAGGGCTATTCTCATTCATAGCACCACAGCTTCCCATTGATGCCTTTGGTATGTTTGCTGAAAAGCCAAGGACTTTGCTATCATCTATGCTTGAGCTTACACCTTCCTGGAACTCCAAGGGGTCAAAGCATCTACATAACCTAAGCCTCAGTTTCCTTTCCTGTAATGAACATGATATCGATGACCTTATCAGCCTTTATGTGTAGTGTATATCAAATAAATGTTAATTCTCATCTCCTGTTCTGCTTGTTAAATACAAAATAAAGTAGCCTAGAATGTCTTTTCTCAAACACACAAACACACACACACAGACACACACACACACACACACACAGACACACACACACACACACACACACACACCACTATGATCAGATTGCATTATATACTTGTTTGGAATTGTCAATGATTAAATTTAATAAACAAGCTCCATCAATATATCTTTCTTCCTCTGTCTTAGGATTTGGCTATGAAGAACTAGAGAAACTCTTTCACATAAGCACTGGAGCTGTGTACAGACGTGTTTCCTGGCACATTGTCTAAAAAGGAATAATATAAAAGATGATTCAGTGACTTATTTCTCTAAGCATACTGGTTAAACTGTAGATTTTGATGCCATGAAACCCTATATAGCAATTAAGAAGCAAACCGTCTCAGGAGACAGCCACTTTTGCTTACTGTTCATTTCTTCTATTTTATCTGCATTGGTGTATATTTTTAGGAGTGAGTGGGAAAGATTTTTATGCTCAGAACAGAAGGTTTCTCATTTTAATCATGGCTTGCCCTACTTACTAATTTCTTGGTCACAGACAACTTAGAGCATGAGCCTATGCTTAAGAATCTAAAGTATTAGTAGAATTTCCACTCTTTCTTTTTTCTTTCTTTCTTTTTTCTTTCTTTCTTTCTTTCTTTCTTCCTTCCTTTCTTTCTTTCTTGCTTTCTTTTTCTTTCTCTCTCTCTCTCTCACTCTTTCTTTCTGTCTTTCTTTTTTTCCTTTCTCTATGTAGGGGCTCAGATCCTTCTGCCTCTGCCTCTCAAATGCTGAGTTCTGCTCTGATAGGAATTTCTATTGTGAAGTTCGCTCATCTTTAGCAAGGAAAAGGTTAGCAGATATAACACAGGAAGAGAAGTTGATTTAACACAATCATTAATGATTACAGTCTATGAGCATTTTTTAGTTGTTTTCTTACCCTTTAATGGCTGGGCCATCTCTCTAGCCCAATCTGTGAGCATCTTTTATTTAAAAATTTTACACAATATATTTTAATCATATTCTTTCCCATCCCCCAACCACTTTCTCCCACCTTCTTACTTGCCTGTTTTTTCTCTCTCTAAACAAAGTAAAATAAAACCCAAAAATCAAATCAATAATCAACCAAAAAAAAAAAAAAACCCAAACCCTAGTTAGGACAAAAATACTAAAATAAAACAAAACAGAAAGTGTGTGCACACAGCACATCCACACCAAAACACCCCATGGAGTCTGTTTTATATTGGCAAACTACTCCTGGGCATAGAGCCTGCCTTGGAGTCTGGTTGATATACCCAGTGACACCCCATTGGAGCAAACTGATAGCTCCTTTCTCAGGGGGCATCAATTGCAAATAGCATCTTGGTTAAGGGTAGGGCTTCAGCTTGACACACGAAAGAACTCACATCGACTGTTGCAGCCTGCACAGGACCTACACAGGCTGAAACCAGCCAAACTTCCAGCACTGAGAAGAGGAGGTAGACTCAGAGTCCCGCCTCCAAACAAGAAACTATGAGCACCTTGTGATCAATGCTCTTCTCACTTGTTTTCAATCCAAATAGAAAAATAATGAAAGATAATACTTTTTTTTTTTTCTTGGAGAAGGCAAAGGAAGTATACTGTTACTCAGTAGTAATGGTTCACAGGTAAGAATGCATCTCACAGTACTAAACTGTACCTTAAATCTCAGCCAGCTTCCCAGACAGAGTGCCTAGCCTCAATTTACCTGTGAAAGAGCATTTCTCAAAATGCAGAGTCAATTTCCCTCAGGTGACCTGAGAGACTTCCAGAATACTCCTGAGAAGGGTGCAGCCAGACACATGTTTCTCTGGAGAATCATGCAAGTGGGACTTCTTACTTTAGCGTCCTCCACAGACAGTTCTTGAAGGCTGTCTGGGTAACTGCGAGGACTTTAGAAAAGAAAAATGGGTGTGGGTTTACAGGTTGTGCTGGAGCTGGGGCTGTCAACTGCTCGAATCCCAGCAAGCAGTTTATGGTCAACGAATTTTTACTCTGTTCCTGTTGGTCAGTGCACAGCCCTGAACAAAACAACCTCGCTGTACTCAGTTCAGGGAGCAATGTACTCAGTTCAGCTACGTATTTGTCTCTGTGTTACATGTGGAAAATTCATTGACTGTAAACTGCACTGACAGAGACTGCTGCTTTCCACCCCAAGGAGGTGTTTACAAAATCATTTTCCTCATGAGGCAACTTTATGACACCCCCTTTGCTTTTGTGGATCTCTTACACTGTTTTTTAATTTTTTATTTTATTCTTTTATTGAAAATAGATCTTTTTTTCCTCACATGGTGTATCCTAATCAGTCTCCTCTCCCTCTACTCCTCTCAGTTCCCCCTCCCCTGCCCTCCCATCTGGATCCACCCCTTTCTGTTTTTCGTTAGAGAACAAACAGACATTTCTGTGGGATAATAATAATATATAATATGATAAAACGAAACCTAACACATCAGAACTGGACAAAACAAACAAACAGAAGAAAGAGAGCCCAAGAAAAGGCACGTGAAGCAGAGACCCACTCATTCACACGCTTGGGATGCCATAAGAACACTAAACTGAAAGCCATAATAAATATGCAAAGGGCCTGTGGTTTTAAAAAGAGAGAAGAAAAATGTACGGACACACACACACACACACACACACACACACACACATATACCGTAAAGCTAAAAAATGAAGCACCCTGATGCAACATTAGGAACCAAGGAACCTCCAAAGATATCATTGAGTTCATTTTCTGTTGGCCGTCTACTTCCTGGCACATAGCCTACCCTTAGAGTAGTTTATTTCCCCAGTGAGACTCCCTTAAAGGAAACTTAATTTTTCTTTGCAAATGGTCATCAACTGGAGACAGCTTCTGGGTTAGGAATTGGGGCATGTGTCTACTTCTCCTTTCGGCTCCAAGACCCCAACTGGAACAGACCCGTGCAGGCCCGTGCTGGCCCTGGGTATGCTGCCTCTGTGGACTCATGTGTATGTGATCATGTTGACACGGAGGGCCTTGTTTCCTGGTGTACTCCATTCTCTCTAGCGCTTACACTTTTTTCCGCTTCCTCTTCTTCAGAGTTTAACGCTGGGCTGCATGCAAGTTTAAGCATATGTACCAGCTCTAGAAAGAAGAAACGTGACATTACTCATCCTGCTTATGCGGTCAGTCTGTCTGTGAGTACATAGGATTCTGTCCCTGCCTAACGAACTTTTCTTATGGATGCTGGGGCAAGCTTCAGAGTTGGCCTTAAAGGCACACCTTTTATAACTCACCTTCTTACTGGTCATCATCTTTGTTGAACAATTGTGACATACTTCATCCCAGCACTGTTGGTGTGATACTTTTTCATGACGGGCACTTTATTCCTTACAGAGTCCTAGCCTAAAGGACATGAGTTTTGTCTTCAAAACATAATGTGAAACAAACTAAAAACCTACTAAGAACCAGACTAAGGCTTTATCTAGTGTTTCAGGAAAATGCTTATGCGAATGTAATGATACCCTTTGGTATCATTGTGTTGGGTGTGGCTCTCTTGCACCTTGGAATGTTGCATTATCACAATAACAACTTTCTCGGTGAAACAGTGCAAGGTGTTAAGATGCTTCCAAAGTGTTTGTGAAGGGAACATAGCTATGTGTTCTTGTGAAGAAAAAAAAAGCATCATGAAAATCTTCATCTACTCCTTGGGCTTTTGCACAATGACAGGCTGTTTCTTGCACTTCTCACCCTCTTAGATTAGCTTAACTTTCGTCTCAGTGGTTGGCCTAGGAACCATTTGGAAGGATCATCGTGTATCTGACATAGGCAGGCTGTGGTGCCTACTGCTGGTGAAGACTGCAAACGTTGGAGAAATCACACCAGAAACACAGTCAGGCAGTCGCAGCGGCTGGAGGTGCTCAGCAGGCAAAGGCCGTATAA